GGATTGTCCAGTAATGTAAACAAGTCACTTTCATTTTAGTCGTGATTTGGAGATTGAATACAACATTCATCGATCAGGGAAAGGTTCAAATTTATGAACTTAAAGACCAGTGAATTGAGAAAGCTTTTGAATTCCACTTGTTGGAGTCTTCAGATAAAAGTGCAAAAAATTTTTCCAGACGAAACTACTCACAAGGTCGCTGAAAACTCAGTCACTCCTGAAACCACAAGTGACATGCGAATGAGTGTATTTCTCGAAATCAGTCCGGTTTGAGTTCAAGTAGAACTCGGGGACTGTGCCTACCCAATGTGTTCCAAGAAGAGCGAAACCGGTTATGGGCTGTTGGAAAGTTTTCAGTAGCCTTGTGAGTAGTTTCCTTTATGAAAATATACTACGATATCTCGAATATCGTACCAACTGAAACATGAGGAGTCCTGTGTGTAGCACATTCAGTTGAATGATGTCATAAACGAGACATTCGGTTGAGCCTTCCATAAAAAGAAATTGATGTGCAAATCTTGTCCAGTTAAAGCCCCGACGTCATCATGTTCAGAAAAGTAGGCTGGGAGATGAGGTCATTCTTACAGATAGTCTACATTCTGATTGGCGTGCACCAGTGATTTCCATTGAACAGGTTTGACTTTTTTCTGTCTAGTGATATCGTATAATGAACTCGTAACCATGGGCTTTTGGTGACGCCCTTCGGATGGTCACGTGAGGTCAATGACCCCAAAATTGATCTTCGTCCTCCAGTGAATCTCACATGAGGTGAGAAGTTTTCCCATGAATTGGATAGTTGTTTCGCTTTGTTCTATTGTGTTCGTTCCAGTCCTGTTTCCCAGTCCCCTACGTTGCTAGATTTGATAAAGTGTAGCACGGTTCCACACGCTTATCTGATGATTAGATTAAATAATTGGTCTTCAATTGCCATAAAGATAACTTTTGAAAGGGTCACCAGAGAAAAGGCATGTATCAGACTAGTTGGCAGCGCTTGTCCAGATACTTTCCATATAAGGGAGAAAAATCGTTTGAAGTAAAGATTCGTCCTCATCTAAAAAGTGAAGAGATCACGTTCGGTGGCCTTATAGGGAGATGACCTTGTGAAGCTGTAAGAAGGGCATACTTGCGCTAAGCTACGGTCCGGGCGAGTCAAGAGATGTATGACCAAATGGAGCTCCAAGACAGCGAAAACAATGTTGGCCGCTTGATGAATTGTCCTTAGTCGATAGATACTTCGTCATTTGGATAAAACGGTCAATGATGAAGTGCCGAGAAGCACTGTGCAGCTATTTTGTCCTTGTCGGAAACCATGAGTAAATTAGGTCTCATGAAACTCCAGAGTTCGAACCCGTGACCCCCCGGCTAGTAGTCTGAACCCTTAACCGTTCGGCCAGTGCGAGTAACTCCCAGTCAGACAAGATATGGTGCCACTTATCAGTCAGTCAAGGAAACTAAGTCTGGCTCCTTGAGTGAAGATTTCTTAGGTGGAAGGTTCACTCATTGCCTCAGTATTATTGGTCCTGTGAACTACTCAGTGATTGTTAGTAGTGTGATTTTTGATTCTTCAACTCAGAATTTGTCCTGTAAGTGAAGTCAGTCTGTGTTCAAACTACTATCGGTAGATTGCTCGTTTGAAATTTCCCTACTTGAGTTCCATGAAGTACTGTACTGCTGTTGACTCTGAGTTGGGATGGAACGGATTTGTAGGGTTTGTCGAATTTACCATAGTTGGCTCCATTACGGGACGAAATCTCCATTAAAATTCTCAACTTTTCTCGCGGCACCACTGTTAGGCAGGAATCCACTCGGATCCCTTTATACCGCACGTCTTCAGGCGCTGCTACGGCCGACAAGCTTGACCCGCTCGAGCTTGGCCCAGAATTCGGGACGCTTGCCGGTCCGGCATCAAGACGAGATCTGATTGGTCAACAATCTGGACCCAACAGCCAATCATGACCCAGTACTGGCCAAATACCGGTTGCCAATGGCGCATCCAGAACGCGTCGGAAATTCCAGAAAGTTATAGCCGCTTATGCTATACATACGAAGCGCTGCACAACTGTTCCTGACTTCGTTTTGGGCGTTAATAGACCTCGTGCACATTTGGTGGTTGTTTTGACGTGAACGCTAGCTTGGGAGGCTCAGACCGGAGAACTAAGTAAGGAAAATACCGTTACCTACAACCACTCAGAAATCTAACTTTCTTCTAGTAACCTCAAGAATTGAAGTTAAATACTAAATAAGTTTCTGAACTAATTTACTACTCACTGCGCAATGAGTAGCGACCTGTTCAGAAACGAAAAATCCCTCTATACAACTTCAGAGAGTGTCATTCGAGAAGCCGGCCAACACCAAGCCACACGGAGTGAACTGCGTGAGTTGATGGAAAGCACACTAAATTCTCTCTCTTGGTAGACTTTCATCTAAAATTTCGCCGGATCAAATCTCCCCAAGATCTATGCCATGCGCACTGCCGACCATCCCCAGCAGAGCTGTGAAGTACTTCCAGGCTTTTCAGCATAGAGTGATTTCTCTCGTTGCTCAACACAACTTCCTCGCTGATATGATCATCAAAGATCAGGATGAACTGTATGAGTTAACGGGATGGATTGTCCAACACGTGGTTCGGCTCAAAACTGTTTCAACAGGCAGCATGCGATAGTTCTTTTGGCGAACGATGTGCGGTCGCCAACTCTGTTTCATCTCACATGTCTACGCCACATGAATACTACTAAAACTGCTTGCACATTTAGTTCATCCTGGCTGAGTTGGGTGTGAATTGTTCAAGACCAGTATAGCCTGATCCACTCTACTGTCGATCGATCGGATACAAACACAGTACCAGTTTGTTTGTTCAATCCTACCCCTACTAAAAATCAATCAGCACATAGAAACACAGAACCTCACCACCCTGTTTCCATCCTGATCACTTGTATTGATCAGGGTCTTGGTCGTTCCGTCTAATTTTAGCAGTTCTCACCGGCTGTCTCAAAGTATTTAGAAAAGGACGATGATCTTTGTTCCGCGATGAATATACGTGTGTTCACTTGAGGTCGAAATTACCAAGTCAATGATGTTGGTCTAAAAGGGGCTGGTAGTGACTGGCGTAGGAATGTGCACCAGTTGTTGGCACGCGGAAAAACAAACTGTTTTCTGTGTGAGCAAAGATCATAGTCCAATCTGAAGATGTTATTGTCACGTTCCAACTGACCTGCTCGGGCTAGTTAGTAGGCAATGACCTGCGTTTTCGGTTTTCGGCTAGCAAAAGTTGAATTTTGGACGATATCTTTTAGCCCGGTTTGAAAGAAACCAGAGAGATATACTTGATGGAGGCCACCGAGGTCGTTCTCAAAGATCCAATGCTTTGTTGCAGCAGTTTCTAGCAAGGAAGACAACCAAATGGATGGCGCTGACTATGAGGTACTCAACATGCGTACCTCGTCAGCTCTGCTGAAAGCTTAGCTTCCCTCTGGACTGTTCGGTTGATCAACTTGGTCAGTTGACAAGCACTGTTTTAACATTAAATCGGCCAGATGGTCCGCTAGGATCAATAATCCCATCTAAAACCGAATCAATTCTTCAGCTTTGATAAGCGCTTGAACAACCACTTTCCATCCCTCCTGAGGATTCACTTACACTTGGTAGTTGCGTTCACAGACGTTGAGCGAGCTAAGTTCATTAAACCTGAAGATGCCACTTTGCCATTGATTGTCGTGACGATGGTATCAGATTGTCACTCACATGATGCTGTGTTATAGGATGAACCATATCAGAAAATCGATACTGTGAAATCTGCTCAGTGATGAACATGTGATAGTTTGGGGTGAGTCATAGGTCAGGTCGAATGCCACCACTCCTTGTCAGCCTAATTTAAACGTTTCTAAAGTGTCATGTTGATTACCAATATCAATTGTTCTAGTTGACTGGTTTCATTAGTGAGCCATGGATGAATGAACGAATATTTCAGCGAGAGAATTCCCGTGTCGATACCACCATATCTGTACACACGAAAGAACGACTGGCCTAGTACACTACTCATAAGGTTGCTGAAAACCTTCGACAGTCCAGTTACCATCTTCGTTAGGTAGCACCGGCAGGGCACATCGACAACAACCAGTGACGTCAAACTTGGCCTTTGAAGATCCTTGTGTCTGAACGGAAATCAATCGCAATGTTCGAAATCTGCAAAAAAACACCTAACCAGTAACGTGTTAAACTTGGCCTTTGGAGGTCCTTGTGTTTGAACGGAAAACAATCACAATGTTCGAAATCTGCAAAAAAACACCTTGAACCCTTTTGGGCCAGATCGCCAAGATTCTTCGGCTCAATCAGTCAGTTTGCAGGGCCAGGACGAGGCCAGAGATCCCCTTTTGGAAGGAACGAGTTATCTGGGGAGGAAACATCCCATTTCTGGAAACACTAAATTGGCTGTTGTAATCTGCGGATGAAGAGTGAGCAAAGTGAGCACATTGGCCTAGACTACGGGTTCGAGTGTGTAGCTACCCAGTCACCCACACACTTGACTGTTCAGCTCACAGTCGCTCACTGGATCACGAAACTTGTCTTTTTTCATACCCGCAAGCCACGTCACATTAAGGTGACTGATCGGACATCGATTGTCTGTACCGTCTAGCGAACGCAGCAACAACTCATGTGCTGTCACACCCACGTACACGCAAACGCACCTACGTATAGGGAAACCGAACACAGTCAGCACGCTGAGACCAGCGCGCGCTCGGGGAGCAGCAAGTCAACCACTTTCCACAAATCCACGGACAATTATGGAACACGTGTAGCAGTCGCGCTGCGAAGAAAACACGTACCCGCCGTCCGGAATTTCATCAAGGAACTCTCGCAGACGATAAGTTCCTCTTTTTTCGACTTGCTCCCATTTTCGCATTGTATTTATTTTTATACGTGTTGCAACCCACCACTGTCCACCATGCCAAAAACTTTTATTAGTGCATACTCCTTCTGATTTGTAATATGGACATCATCAACAGTGGTGCACTAATAGACGGTTTCCGAACTTTGAACCTTCAAAGAAGTGCACTTAAAGTGCAAATCAGTCCCTTAAGCAGCTCGCATAAAATCGACCTAGTCCGAACGGGTGCCTTCCAATTCTGTCGGGCAAAAATCGAGCAGTAAGGAAAGTGAGATGTAAAAATATGTAGCAAATACATCACGTTTTCAAACATAAAACAAAATTTCTCGTCCGCATGGTTCAAAATTCCCGCCAGACAAGGACTTCGTAGCTGTGTAGACTATGTTCTTCTCCTCCGTATGGGAAATATCCACAGTGATGTCCTCCGTGTATCTGAAAGTCAGTGAATTGGCCAAGTTATTATGGTTCTTTTTTTCTACAACATTTATACTTGTCTGGTAGAAAATTCTAGACTTGGGGCTGATCAGTTTTGCTTAACAGTCCTTGGTGATCCCTGATGGTACATCTCCAGGGGTCTATCCAGTGTCAGAAAGAAGACAAATTATCGAGAATTACTCACCTTTCCAACGACTCGCTCTCCATTTATGTGGGCACGGGCAACATACAGTGGTGAGCCATCTGACGCCAAGCCGGCCACAATGGCGTTTTTCGGGACATGACCATTGTTCGCGTTCTCCCAGCTGTAGCTAAACAAACAGGGAGAAAGTTTGGAGGTCAAGGTCAAGCATCAAAAGAGCTGGTACGTCTTAGAACAGAAAAGTACAGCGATAAACGGGAGGACTTGTTTCAGCTAACCATGTTTGCTTCATAAGAGGCTAAACAAATGGTGGCGGTGTAGGAAGTACCGAAGAGAAAACAGTAGGTGAGGGAGTGACCTGAAGATGGGCTGTTGCGAGCATTCTGTGGTCACCCCAACTCCGAACGCCCAACACGAAAGTCAGTCACTGACCTCGGTCAGTCACCATTTCTTGCACCGTCTCCAGCCAAGAGCAAGTAAGGTCACGGGACCCCATTGTGAAGGACGCACCTCGCCTAAAACAACCCAGACTCTTCGTAACCTCTTTTACATCACATTCTCGCGTTGTACACATTCTGAAGGAGGAACAAAGAACAACTCTCGTCCCGGTAGACGGCGTTTTGGATGAATAGCACACGACTGATCCAACGCAGTTAATATTACTGGTCGTTTTCCGTGACTGAAGTATCTTATGCGTAACGACGCACGAGTCGTCTAATTATCTCGTTACGAAGTCGCTGACTCCATCGGACATCAGGAACGCTTCTTAGACACCAGAGGAAAAACGCCTGAAGACACCTCACATCATCCGGCCGTGGTTCGCAACCGTGCAACAATACAGCCCTTACTCTAGCCTGGTAAACACGGCTCTTGTGACACGTTGGTATAACCTTTTGACGTCACAAGTGACGCAGGTTAGCCACTGTGATTCGATCCTGTGAGATTCGTGCACTGACTAAATCGAACACAATTTCGCCAGAGTTAACACAACCACAGAGTTAAGTAAAGTCCGCTGAAACATGCCAAAAGATGATATGAAGTCGGTCAATTTATTCAACAGAGGTTTCGTTTGAACATCGCCTTCAAAAACGACGAGGGCCCCGTCTGCGAACTCCAGTACGGCAATCTTCCTACCGGTAAGGACTGAAATGCCGAAGTTTCGGACATCAATTTCTGTAGCGATATACACTCATTGGCATATCAATTTGATTTTGACGGGAGACACACCTGGAACCCATCTGAATCTCCCATAAACGAGAGATTCAGCTCGGTTCCAGGTGAGTCACCCATAAAAACCAACTTGGTATGCAAATGAGTGTACTTCACCAACTCGGTGCAATTTGGTTTCAAGTAGAACATAAGGTTAAAGGAAACTCGGGGACTGCGCCTACCAAATGAGCCCGAATCAGGAGGGCGAAACCGACTGTGGGCTGTCGACGGATTTTCAGCAACATTACAAGAAGTATGTTACATCCAAATGATAGATACAGTTCATCGGTGGGCGGAGAAGTTTCTTACTGTCTTCTTTATGTGTTGTTCCGATACTGGTTACAAGTGGACTTCCAAAGAAACACTTGAGAAATTTAAAAAAATTGTTTCAGGCTGATAGTAAGGTTGTGCTGACCGAACAAAACAAATTCGGAGACCATTTGAAAGTAGTTTCTCACGTCAAATAGCCTACCATTTATTGGTGCGGTGAGCGGCGGTGTCGCAGAGCACCTCATACGAATGGTGTGAGTGTTCGCGCCCTCCAAAAGCGCAATAAGCCTGGTTGAGACGAGGCACGACCTTGCCGGGGAGTAGATCGCCATTTTGGTTCATTCGACCAATGTATACGCCGCAGCCAGCGTCAATCGCGTTTGACGGTACTCGTCCATCCCGTTCGTGCACCCATGACAAGCCAACTTGCACTCCGTGACCGATCCGCGCCATGAGACCTAAATTAGAAAGGCATGGAGAAAAACAAACCCTTATAGCTCAGATTGATACACTATATAATAGTAATAGAAATAGAAATAACCATCCAACAGTAAAGCCATTTTGGTGTCTAGCTTCCATACCTACCGAAGGAAGCAGGAGATTGCCTAATCCGAGTCCACTGAGGTCGAGATACCAGGATTGGGTTCGAACCACGGACTCTCTGGTCAGTGGGTTCGTCCGCGAGCACCCAAATCTATCAAGCTTTCTTCAAGTTTGTCTCAACATTTACGTCTACTGTCAACGATGTCGAGGTTGACTGGTCACGGAAGCGTTATGTTCAATCAGGAAACCGTTCGAATATTGGTTTTTTTTAAAACGGTCTACTGGATTTCAGGCTAACTGCGCTGTCAACAAACTGTTCTGGCAGTCGGGTATTGTTCCATGGGGATGAGTTTGCCTCCAAAATGAACAAGAATATCCCTTAGATGCCTAAATCAAGCTGGGCAACAAACTACGTATCGTTCAAATTACCAGCGTAACGGCGGATACTACTGATGGGGGCATGCAAGTAGCGTGTTTTCTCGTAAATCCTCTTCGCGTCTCTTGAAAAGTGAGATCTGTTACGGAATTTGTGGAGTCGCATTTGTTTGCATTTGAGCGATGGTCAATGAATATCCGGGAAAGTTCAGGAAGACGCGTTCAAGGAGAAGGTGGATATTCAGTTTTTGTAAACAAGATGCTTCTCTGTTCAATTGTCTGTCACTGTTCAGTTAGCAACGAAGGTCTTTCATTTTCGCCAGTAACAGCAAAAGGACAAACCAGTATTTGATTATCTTTCACTTTTATATTTAATATACTACATATATATTTTTTATTTACATTTACACGCACACATTTGTACTATATTACATCATATCATACTACATTATGTTTATATTTTATTGTATTATATTATATTATATTGCATTATATTGTATGGTAGTGGTTAAAGCGTGAATTTACTGACCGGAAGGTCCGTGGTTCGAACCCGACCTCTACCTCTCGACTTCCCCTGCCTAGACTTGGGCAACCTGGCAGTATTCCGGCCCTCGTGCAACCTTCGGGTGGCATGGCAGTTAGACACCGGATAGGTGCTACAACTGAGCGATTTGCTATCTGAGTTCCTGTCGTCACCAGTCGTCTTGCGATCCTCAAGAAATGAGGATAGAATGCCAGGCAAATGGTCTCAGATGTCCAATAGCTTTTGAGATTGCTTGTTTTCCCAGTAGTCTTCTAGTTGAGAATTTATGAGTGTTTAGAATTTTGGGAATTGAAAATCACGAAGATTTTGTCTGACGAACCAGGTAGTGCCATGTCATTTTGCGACCAATAGGGAGAGAGGAAAAGTGAGCCTAATGTGTGGACCAGTTTTGGTGAATTTGCAATTCTACGACGATAACTGTCCAAAGAATGACCAAGTTTAGACATGTATATAGTAATACATATAGTCGATAGTACAGTACAGTATCATTCAGCTGTACCCAGCTGCCATGCCACCCAGAGAGAGCATGAGGGCTGGGCTAGTGCCAGGTTGCCCAAGCCTAGACAGAAAGGCAGAGGTCGGGCTCGAACCACAGACCTTTCAGTCAGTGAATTCGCCATTTAAGCACTGAGCCACAGTATAGTACAGTATAGCACAGTATAGTACAGTTGAGAGTGGTATATGTACGGTGTATAACCAAAATCTGTTACAAAATCCCACATGGAATATCACAAATAAATGGCCCAAAATACACAATGAATTATAGTCTGAAGTATGAATCTAACCCTCTAGCTAGACATTGACTACTGCAGGACACAACTCACCGACTTGTGGAATAGCACAACAGATGTGACTGTGCGAATTCAGTGTTGACGATTTATACTTGCAAATCAGAGCAAAAGGTCACTGGATGCCAGCCTACACAGCGATTGTTGTTCTCTTTGATTTCTGACCAATGTGGACGCACGTATTTCCAAACTTGACACATTTGTTGATTGGCCTGCTTTTTTTAGTAGTGCCTTGGCGTGTGGAATTTCTCGACTTTGTGTGTGTGTGAAATCATTAATCACAAAGTTGGTTTTCTGCTTCTGACCAGTACCTTATGTACCACAATTGTTATATAGGGAACCGAGCTTAAATGCACTGTCGATGCGGAAAGAATACTTGATGATTAGCGAATATACACCCGTTTGCACTACTCATAGAGTTGCGGAAACTCGGGGACTGCGCCTACCTGCTGAGCCCCAAGAATGGCGAAACCGGTCGTGGGCTGTCGACGAATTTTCAGAAACCTTATGAGTAGTGCATTACGCATATACACGTACCATGACATATCGAATATCGTAGCGACTGAAACATGAGGCAGCTTGGTGCAGCACATTGAGTTGCCTGGAAACATCACAAACGAGAGGTTCAGTTGGGTTCCATGTGAGTCTCTCGAAAAACCAAATTTGTTTGCAAATGAGTGTATATTCGCTAATTTCATGCAATTTGGGTTCAAGTAGAACATAAGGCTGACAGAAACTCGGGGACTGCGCCTACCTGCTGAGCCCCAAGAAGGGCGAAACCGGTCGTGAGCTGTCGACGAATTTTCAGAAACATTACGATTAGTGCACTACAAGGCTATCAGACCAAAACATAGTTGGTTTGGAAAATGTGACCAACCTTGGTTGGAAAGGGGGTGTGTACGGTCTTGAGAAGTCGTTCTGATTGGAACCTCTCGGTTGGATTTGGCAGGTCGGTTGCATGTGTTTGGTTATCGCGGTGCTATATGCCGGGGTTCGAACCCAACCCCGGCATCTCGACTGCGCCTGTCTAGGCGCATTATCCCAGCCCTTGTGCTTCCCTCAGAGGCTTGGCAGCTAGGTACCAAATGGAATCGAGACAAGCGGTATTTTTGCCAGTGGCGCAGCACAACTAATTCCATGAACCGCTGTACACAGTAAGGGACGCTGAAAAATTGAGACAAACATGGAGAATACAGTACAGCTGCTAGACGAGGAGGGTTGTTCATTCACCTCGTGCATACGAAGAGGCCTTAAAATTGGCTGAACCCTGCATTGTCTGCTTTGTTTGATTCTATCTGTCAATGCAATAGCTAGTCTTTTGTCGACCTAGGCTAGTCGACATTTCGTGAGAGCGCAAGCTTGTGCACAGAGGATGGGGTCCGCCACAGTTTATGTTGTTATCCACCTACTGAGTATCATGACTTTCCTCACGAACCAGCAAGCTCTAAAAAGTGTGCAAACACCTCTCCTTCCTCTGCGGCCGCTTGAACTCAAAATCCAGATCAAAGGAATCTCGCTCAATGGCGATACACGCGAATTCATTTGACAACCACTGCCTGGGTATTCACTTCGTCTCCAAGGCCAGCTTAGTCACCGACGTCACACTGACACCTAGTCCACATTACAGTATGCTGATCACGTGATCGTTTCGAGCTTGTGGCAAAGGCTGGCTGATTCAAACCGAACATACCACATCCCAACTGAAACCCTAAACTTACAATCTTTCTATTGTTATCATCACTGTCCGAATTTACAACCAGCAGCGCCAGGCTTATATCCACACACGCGACTCTGTTTGGCGGACAGATCGAAAGCAAAGAGATCCGTCATCTTGAAGTAAGTCCAAATAGTCATGGGAGAGCTTTAATCCGCTGTTCTCAAGTTGTTTTGAGCTCAGGATGGCTGGGTCAATAAGGCGAGAACTTACTGACCGGAAAGTCCGTGGTTCGAACCCAACCTCTGCATCTCGACTTCGCCTGTCCAGACATGGGCGGCCTTGCGGTATCCCAGTCCTCGCGCTTCCTTCGGGTAGTATTGCAGTTAAGCACCTAAACGGTGTTACAGCTGAACGATTATTACTGTACTACAAATAAGTCCCCCAGATGAAACCACAAATTGTTAGCTGGAACAAAACATAGAAGCAAACGGGCGGAAAACCAAGATACTGGTGGCCAGGGTGCGTTTACTGATGATTGATCAGGTGGCCGTTGATATGAGACTCCAAACTTACCATCTCCCTTTTCGCTAAATACACCCATTTGCAAATGAATTAGGCTTTCACGAGAGACTCAACTGAATCTCTCGTTTCTGATATTCTGCAACCGAATGTGCTGCAGACAGGCCGCCTCATGTTTCAGCTGGCACGATATTTGCGTTATCGCTGTATATTTTTTTAGTAAAGAAAACTGCTCACAAGTTTGCTGGAAACTCTTCGACAGCCCACCACCGGTTTGGCCCTTCTTGAGGTTTAGCAGGTAGGCGCAATCCCCGAGTTTCCGTCAACCTCTCCTTTGAACCGCCGTCCTCCTGTTCTAATGTAACTACGCCGAGTCCAAACCAGAGGGGGGGAGCAATGGACTCGAGTTTTACTTTTCATAAGGCGCATCAGCAGTGCATATCCAATTGCCGCGCCGGGATTCGAACTCCGGACATCCTGGATGCGAGGCAAGCGTGTTACCACTACTCCATCGGCGCACGTTGGACGTGTCGGAATTTCCACGTCTGAACACGTGTTCACGCTTGAGAGATGTGATTGGTGTGCCCGACCCATCGTGAGACGACCTGGTATTCAAGCCCGTCACGGCCAGTGGATATCTTCTACCAGCGGCTGAAAAAATTGGATGAAAACAATGCACTCTCGATCGTCGCCAGACAGAGCTGATACATCGATTCCTTGGTGTCTAATCATCATGTCAACTTGGTTGGTGTGAAGGGGTCGCGCTGGATAGAAACTGATAGGATCAATATGGAGCTAGAAGAATGAGGCGTGGGAACGTTTCATCATGATCATCCTCAGCTCTAGAAGCCGCCTACTTACCGTACAGTGTTTCTAGCTGCCAAAGTTTCGTCCACCGATGATTTGGAGAGGTTGGTAGATAGCTACGGACTGCAGCCGGTAGCTGATGTAACTGATGCAAGAGCTAAGTTTTGAAGGCCCGAGCGCCATGTCTGACAATATCTCTAACAGTTTATGCATCGCTCCTCGGGGTCCCATACAGGGAGTCGGCAAAGACGTTGCTTGGCCTCCACTGTTTCGTTCACACCCTTCAGGTTTCCTTTGATCCTTCATGTTTCCATTCTTCACCATTCTCAACAAATCCCGGTTGATGATGGATGACCAATTGCTCAGTCTGTTCAGCAAGTCATTTCTTTAGTACATGCAAATACCTGAGTCAAGTATACTGTTGTTCATGATCGCAATCAAGCAAGTGTCATCTTCATATCTGTGAAATGTAACGCCTTCCTGGACCTGTCTTCACCTTTGGGATACCCTGAGGGCAGTGTAATGCATCCAAGCACCAGACAGAAGAATAGACCACTGAGGTTCTCTGCTGTATGAGCAGTGGGATTCGGGCATGCGGAAAAGGTGTGCGGGTTCGCTCACCGACCTACCGGAAATAAGTGGTGACAAGCAATTAGACACCAAAGTGAAAAATCCCATTTGCACGGAAGTTTTGAAGGGAAAAACATCCTCAAGCGTCTTTTTGAACTTCTTGTACCAAACTTCCATTGGATGCGGGGACGGCATTTTGACACTTCACTAGACACTACTCGCTTGCTCCATCAGTAGTGGGCAAAGTTACACTGATTGAGATTTCACGTACGAAGATTTCCTAGGTGCCCACTGGGACTCCGGGAATAGAATTATATCATCTTTATATGTCTGGTCAAATTGGTCAGATCGAGCGGAGATGTTGAACGCAGAGAGATTTCCGAACGAATTAAACTGGCTCTGAGAGCATGTTTTCAAAATTCCACATTCTACCGAATAGGGGTTCGACCAAAACACAGCGAAGTTTTTTTAGACGTACCATCCCAAATGTTGGGGAGAAACATTGCAAGCCTATAACTTAGTTGGAATACCTTACGACCAGAAATTTTCAATCATTCGACTACTTATAAGTAAACATACAACGAATGAAAACATCTCTAACTGAGACATTTTCTATGTGCATATTCCGACTTGATCAAGTCTATCTCAATGGAAAAATATTTGCTCGAACTTTTGTCGACAAGTTTCAAAGGTTTCTCACCTCTCGCAGCTAAAAATATTAAAATGGTTTAAAGAGGTTGAACGTATACCTAATCATGCTGGCGTCAGTGAAACTTCTGGAAATAGCCTAGTTGAATGCTCCGATGAAACTGACCCACTACTGTTTGAATTTCACAGATATTCGGATTAACTACAGGGGTAGCGGTAGAGGTCAAGGTTAGGGGGCAATCCAGCATTGATTAGAAGACAAAACCATCGAAGGGCAAGCACAAAGGCTACCGACGAATCAGGACACAGGATAACAGATCAACCAATGGATCCGCCCAACCGAACAACCAATCGTGATCTGAGGTCAGACGTACAATGACACACTATTCGACGAATAACGACCAACTGACTGCTACGCTTCACCAAGCACCCTAACAACCTACCGATGACGTCACCCTGACTGGTGATGAAACGTCTACACTCTAATCGTTCAGCTCAGCAAACAAACCAATGACCATCTTTGCTACCTGGACTATAAACATTCTCCTCAATTTTACTGACTGTTAATCGAAAATGCACCATTTGCACCAAACTGTGGAAGATCGGTGCACCTCTCACAAGGTCCACGGTGAGTGGCACCGCATTTTAGACCCCCTTGGTTACTGGTGACACGTGAGCACAAACGTCGACTCCATTAAATCTGAGGTAGTTCGGGGTATCCAGACGGCGTGTTCCGGTGCCTTATGTACATGGCTTCAGATCAAACAAGTCTGTCATGTCACAGTAAGCCACGTGTGTAGGTAAGCTAGCCAGCGAATCAGCTGATCAGTGCGGTTGACTCTGAAGCACGAACGTATCACAAGATCCTAGCTGTACTGAAACACTCGTTTGACAACTTCCCTAGTTTGTCCTCAGGACTCATTTAGGAAGCGCCTGGCATAACGAAGAGGAAGTTCAACGCAACATTTAAACTGTTCAATCAAGTCGGATGGGACCTGGAGGGGATTTGTAAAATGAATTGTTGCCCAAAGGTATGCACAAAGACACACGTATCCAGTTTCAGCAAAGCGTTACAAGAGGTTAACCAAGGCAGCATATATCCCCAGAAATATCTTGGAAATTCCGTATTCAACCGTAGCTGCATCTCTAGCCTCCAAGTTCACTTTTGAATTGCCGAAAATAGAAAAAAAGTCTCGGAATTTGTGAGTTTTTGTCCTCACGATGGGGAACGGCGAAAAAACGTCGGTGGTAAACATAATGAGCCCTTATCAGCCGATTTCGAAATTTGAACAACGATTGGACACGCAACTCTGTCTAATTGCGATTAGTCACGAAAACTAGTAATTACTGGACCGGCAGTTTCCGGCGGAACCGTGTTCATGGAAGAACATCATTGTGAATTTCCGGAGAAAAAGTCTTGTTTCTACTCAATCTAGTGTTAATTCTTTAGTCACTTGCAAAAAGTTGATGCATCTTGGCTGATGAGCGATGTATGGCCTGATTATTATTGGATGGACGACAACATGGGAGTTTCCGCGTCACCGCTGAGAAACGAGAGCCAAGTTACCCCGAAAAACCACTCATATAATGACCTATTTTTATCTCGCAATGTTCAATTAACTTATGGATTCTGAACTTAATGTACTTGACTCATTTGGCAGACAATTTACCGACCCCTAATTGTCAGTAGGATCACACTACTTAGTAATTTGCAGTAACAAAGCAAAAATGCAGAAATAAAAAGTTCCCGCTGAAATGAAAATGGTGAAGAAACTCACCTAAAGTTTGGGGTAATTTCCATTTGAAGGGCCCTAAATTCGTTGATGAGTATGCAGACAAGTGGGGATTCCGGTGCCAGGTCATTTCAATGTCCTTCTTGACGTTCCAAAATGTGGGACTAAACTAAGCATCCGGTAGTGTACCAAACTCAGTTCCAATTAATAGATTAATTTAGCTAGAACTTGAGTTCAAGCACACCACAAGTTTGGCAGATATTCGGGAACTATGTTAGCCTGATAAAACCAAAAGTGGAAAGTCAAAACCGATCATGGGGTTTTGAATGGCTCTCAGTAACTTTATGGGTAGTGAGTTCCTTTGAGAAAAGTGTATGTTACAGACTTAACAATTTGCTCAGAAGGTTTCTAAAAAACTTTTCCACAGTCTGAGAACATCACAAATGTGGAATTTAGCTGGGTTCCAGGTGAATATTCCGTCAAAAGCCAGTTGGTTGCAAAATTCTCCAATTTCGTAAAATTTGTTTCAGCTAGATCATAAGATTGACGGAGCCTCGATGACTGCGCCTACCTGATGAGACCCAAGAAGGGCGAAACCGGTCGTGGGCTGCTGAAGATTTTTCAGCGACCTTATGAGTAGTGCATTACGCATATACATGTATCACGATATTTCGAATATCGCAGCAACCAAAACATGGAGAAGCCCAATGCAGCACATGCAGATGCTTAGCAACATCACAAACAAGAGATCTGGCTGGGTTCCAACGACCAGTTTCGTTACCTAAACTAGCCAAATCCTGCTCAATTTAATGACTGGTAAATGCAAAGTTTTGTCACATCCGGAAGGTAGAACAATATGAATATCTCCGTCTCTTTTTGGTTTCGTCAACAATCATGAAAACGCGCATGTGACTGTGCTTCTCGGGATCCAACGGAACTCGAAACATCTGAGCACTGGACTAATCCCCGAAATCAATCGATCCATATTGATACAAAATGTTCGAACTACTTGCAAGTAGTCAAATAATTAGTTAAATAACTGAACTGATGGTTAGACAATCGATCTAAAAGTTTAAATCGGTGTTGACTTTTCACCAGATATACTTATCTGCACACCGGTCTAGTTTTCATCGGAGACCAACTTGAATGCAAGCTGGATCCCTGGTTTACGCCTGAATTTTCTAAAGCAGTTAATTCTGAACCGAGCAGATTCATACGGAGTGTCCCCTGACATTTGCCAAAATGCACAGTCTCCTATCACACCAAAAATCTCACCAAGAGCATAATTGACGGAGAGGAACAGCGACTGTTGGATACCAATATC